AGCTGAGAACGTAAAATTAAAACAAGCTTTGGAAGAACATGAATCCAGATTTGCGAAACTGGAGCAGAACGATAAAGATACTGCTGTTGAAAATGCTGAGCTTAAAACTAGAGTTGCGAAATTAGAACAGAAGCAATCGCAAACCGATGAAAAGAACAACTTTATTGTTAAATTAGATGATGATGCCAAGGGAATCGATCAATCTTCAGTTAATACCATCTCTATCAAAATGAAAAATTCTAACGATACTCCGGCATCTAATATATCAGATAATATTTCAAATGTTGCTCCTGAATGAATAGAAAATAGTTCCAATAATACACCCGATGAAGTGAAGCATCTAACATCCGGTTCTTCTGATATATACCAGGAAAAGGATAGCCGATCTTTCACATCTCTCATTCATATATCATCGGAAGAGAAAGAAATTAATGAATTTATGGAATTACAGGAAAAGGAAAGAGTTAGTAATATGGCAAGAGAAAGAAATAGGGAAAAGAAGATTTGCCGAGGGCGACAAATAGTGCAAAAAACATCTTCCTCTTCTGATACACAAAATGTAATTTCTACTGAAATAAATCCTGTTGTCGAAATTACCCATGAGCATAAAACCACTAAATCAGAATCAATGCCTACTGATCAAGCACAAAATACCGGAATCAAAATTCCATATAATAAAAGAGTCGAGCAAGACTTAAGGCGCGACTTATCTGTGTTCATTAAAAAGAATAATAATAAAGTTAGTGAAGTATTTGATATACAAATTCCTGAATTCTCGTTAGAAGTAATTATAACAGGATCTAGCAAAATTACAGCACAAAATATAGCTGATATATTTGTTATAGCAATGAAAGTTAGACAAAAGAGATTTTATGCTGGTATTGTTACTATAAAGCATATGAGGATCGAACTGAAGACATTAAACGTGTAAATAAAATTGATGACCAATCAGCAAGAACATTGGTATATAATGAGATAAAAGCACTTCTCCCAGATATCACCGATGTAAACTTGCGTCAGAGAACATTCAGAGCAAAAAAGATTTATACGTTACTTGTGGGAATAGGAATAGAAAAAATCCAAGCAATAACATGTAGTGCAAGTGGAATCTCGAGTTTAACTGACAATCAGATTCAAGATATTATAATTTGTTTTCCTAAAAAATTTATTAGCATAGATGACTCTTCGGTTAAATGCCAAAAAATGATCAGCATTACAAATTATAACGCGCATGTAACTGAATCTTTCGATCAGACTAATTCATTGGGGCGGTTTTAGCTGAGGTAAGCATTCCAATTGTACCTATCCCATTAGCCCATGACTCGGTCCCAGAAGGACCCTCTAATTCTTCTGATAATTCCAAAAAAGAGGCGTGGTTTGATGAAGATATGTTTTTCAATGAGGCGAATCCCAGTAAAGTGAACACTGTCACTTCGGACGATGATGTGTATTTTGATGAGGCGAATGAAGTTAATAAGCACGATAGTGACTCCAATTCATGTAATGATAACTCTGATCCCGACAATGATTCTGAAGATGAGATGTCAGACGATTTGGATGATGATGGATATAATGGGTACGGTAGATATGATGAATATAGTGGTCGTGATAGAGGTTATTATTATCATGACGGAAGATACGAAAGAAAAATCTCACCAATGATGAGTCCTATTATATCTCCGGTGACCGCCTGCTGAGCCAGAGTGACGAAGTCAAGCGCTAAAGGCAGGAGAATTATCACATACTTTAGTACTGGATTATCTTATAAGTTTATTTTTTTCGAATCACTCTAACTACGCCCTATGTCATTTCCGCAGTGTTCCTATTTTTAGATCTAGATGTGCTATTTTTGTATTAATGGAGCTAAGATCTTATGAAAATGCCGTCGATCAATAAAAAATTATTCCAGAAATTATTAATAAAAAATTTTATTGACAAAATTCGCATGGCCTGTCAGAAAAACACCTGATTTCAGCTTATTCCGCTATATGTCATGCACAGTACCCAATAATACGTCATTATTACACTTTTTCGCAGTAACCATACTGTTTTGAGTATCATATGACATTACTCTCTCGAGGCTAAGTGTCAAGTGATACTTTACACATATATTGCTATAATTGATACGGTGGATATGATGAATATAGTGGTCGCGATAGAGGTTAATATTATCATGATGGAAGATACGAAAGAAAAATCTCACCAATGATGGCTGAATCGAGATCAGCAAATTAATAGACATTAGGGTTGCCATAATTGTTCCATGTTTTGCGACGATCGTAGTATCCAGGAGCGATGGTTCCGCAGTATTAACATTTCGCAAAATCGATTTAACTTCTGCGCAGTAATATTATGCTAATCGTGACGTATCACGGGAACAAGCAACTGCGCATAATAATTTATTCTCAAACATTCTCGCACATTCTCAAAAATATGTATAACCCCTTGATGA